TCCTACCTGAGTTAACGATATTGGCTAAAATATTGTTCGGTCCCTTGCAAGTCCATGCGGCTATTGTGAAAATAAGTTGTGTGTTTAACAATCGTTTTGACAAGTCCTATTGAAAGATTAGGTGACTTCCAATCATTCTACAAGTAAACACCATTCCTTTTTGTTAAAATAACCAAATTGAAAATTAGGATTTTTTTAGAAGTTACAAAATTAAAAGTGTAATACAAGATTTGGATTCCTTTTTTGGAATTAAAAAGGAAATGTCTTATGCTCAGAGCCGATCAGAGTCGAAATGGAGAAGTTATTACCCCTCAAATAACGATGGGCGGATTGCCATGGCCAAATTGGTCGAAAAAGAACGTTCGAGGGGTGCATTTTGTTCGTCTCGGCGAGACACGACCGTGTAACCCTCCTGGTTACGGGCGAAAACTGCCGTCAGAATTGACCTCCGACGCACCGTTTGGCCGCTAGGGGCGATTGAACACTCTATTGAACATTTTAACATAATTCTGCTATTTCGATTCCGAACGTCTTGGAGCATAAAACTTTTTCGTTTTCTTTTGTCAAGATGAACTCGAAACAATAGTTACCTTTTTACATTTCTCCCGAACCACTACCTCCTTCCCCCCCTCCAACTTACGTAAGTAAACACGTAAACCATTCAAAATATCACTTTCGTTCCTTCTCACCGGACACTCGTGAAACTTCGTAGGTCCAGTTCCTCAACTCTAAAACTAAAAATTTCACACTCGGTTTGACCATCTGACATTATGATCACGTGTGAGAAAATCAGAAAGTCTCGAAGTGGGTGCAAGGAGCCATTTGCGTGTTCGCGCTCTTTTCCACTCAGTGTAGCCACCACCGAAACAACAACATCTGAAGCTCCCTCCGGTGAAAAAAGGACCAAACATTTCAAATTAGTCCGTAGCGAACGAAAAGGGGAGACTGGGTCTCCCTTAAATTATAGATGTTAAGGCAAACTCGCATTCCGTCATAGGTGCAGCCGTTTTCGAGAAAAAGAGGAACGCAGACACGGACAGACAGACAGACTCACGACCGAGACAACGCCTGACCCCTCAGCAACTTGGACTGAGCTTCGCTCAGCGAAAATACTACCTCATGTTGTGGGGGACTAAAATAGGATTTGGAACTTCCAAAATCCCTCTGGAATCCCTTTTTTCTAAAGTCTCTCTGAACTCCCTTTTCGCCGCACCATGCCGTTTCAAGGCGAAATCAGAAAATGGTGGAGGAAGCTGACTAGGCCATTTTTAACATGACAGGCGTGCTCACATGGCCGGGAGATACCCGGCACCCCGTACATTGTGCGGGGGGGGGGGGGGGGGGCAATGTCAGTTGCCTACATTCATGGGTTTTATGACGCAAATTTCCTACCTTTCCAGGCGGCTACTCTAGATACCACAGGGCCCTTGTGAAAACGAACAGCTCCGAAAGACATCCGAAGCGGACTTGCTCCGTTTTTACTCCGACTAATGTGTTTCGGACAGTTTCGGATGGCTCCATTTATGTTCCGAAACGTTTGAAATTCGGATGTTAAACGGAGCAGTCCGACTTCAGTCCGAATCGGACAGTCCGATTGGCGCCCGAGACCT